AGAAGGCGTCCATGAATGTTAACAGCTCATTTCCAGCAGTGGACTCTACAAGTCGATCTATATGCGGGAGCGGGAAACTATCTTTAGGACATGCTTTATTCAGGTCTGTAAAATCGATGCAAACCCTATCTTTCCCATTCTTTTTCTTGACAACGACAGTGTTTGCTACCCACTCCGGATATTGCACTTCTCTTATGGATCCTATCTTCAAGAGTTTATCCACCTCGTCGTTTACTATTTTTGCTCGCTCCACTCCAAGCTTTCTTCTTTTTTGTTTCACCGGTTTGAAGCCTGGATCTACGTTCAGTTCATGACAGATTATACTCGGATTTATGCCCGGCATGTCCGCTGCTGACCATGCAAATGATGCTTTGTTTTTCCTTAGGAGTTCGATCAAAGCTTCTTTTATTTGGCCAGTCAAAGTCGCTCCAATTCTAATTTTCCGGTCCGGCTTGTCTTCCTCCAGTACCACTTCGACTACTACATCCTCTTTCTTCTGCCCACTAGGAAATTTTTGCCTTAGTCCTTCTTTTGCGGGCTTTGTTAATTGCTATTGGATCTTCAAACGGTGGCTAGCTAGGTAACAAGTCCGCGAAGCTTCTTGATCTCCCCGAATCGTTTCCACCCCATTTATTGTTGGAAATTTGATACATTGATGATATGTAGAGGGAACTGCTTTCATCCGATAAATCCAGGGAGTCCCAAGGATGATGTTGTAAGCTGCGGGTTTATCGAAGACAACGAAGTCCACGATCTTCGATACCTTCTTGGCAAGGACCGGTAGCTTGATTGTTCCGAGAGACATGGCTGACTCGCTTGTGAATGCAACTAACGGAGATGGAGGTCCTACTATGTCTCCTCGGCTGATTCCCATTTTTTCTAGAGTACTTAAAAAGATCAAATCGACCGAACTACCTGTATCTATAAGGATCCTTGACACTTCGAAGTTTGCGACATCAAGAGTAATGACTAGAGCATCGTCATGCGGTCTTTCGAGATGCCGCGTTTCTTCTTCATCGAATGATATTGATGCACCTTGAAAATCGACTTCTTCGCTTAAGCTTGCTTTGAGTAAGACATTTCGTCGATGCTTTTTGATTGAACTTATTGAATCTCCGCAAAATCTGGATCCTCCCAGAATCACATTGATCTTACCCTTAGAACTCCTTGGTTCTTCCTCGCTGGACAATCTTGGTCTTTTGGAATCTTGATCTTTGGAGTTTTCCCTTGCTTCGTGGTATTCCTTCACAAAATCTTTTATATCGAATTTAGAAAGATCACCACTAGCCCAAAGCTCTGCGAGGTGCTTTTTAAGAACGCTGCAATCCTTGGTTAAATGTCCGGTTACTTTATGAATGTCGCAATATAGACTTTCATCACGGACCCAAGTGTTTGATCTTCCTTTCCCTTGGAATTGCTTCCCGACGGAATTGTTGAAGGGTTGCGACCCAAACTTCCTTGGTCCTTTGCTCTCTCTAGACTCGAACTTCTTGGTAGGGACGGTGACTGCCGGCTTTTCTTGTTTATTCCGTTTGGCAAAACTTTCTTTTTCGTCTTCTACCTCCATCCAATTGTTTGCACGGAAGAGTGCATCCTGAATTGTATCTGGTTTATGAAGTATTAAGTCTTCTTTAAACCTTGAATCATGTCGTAATCCTTTTCGTAGGGCAGATAAGGCTGATTGCTGTGAGATTCTCGGGAGTTTTGATAGCACTCCTTTGAATTTGGTGATGAAAGCTCGAAGTGACTCATTAGATCCTTGCGTCAAGTTCCAAAGATCGGCATCCGAAACGCTTTTATCCATAAGGATAGAGTATTGCTTTAAGAACACGGCTGACAGTTCGTCGAAATTGCTGATCGAACCCGGCTCTAGTTGGGTGAACCACATTAGAGCTTGGCCACATAGATTCTCCGAAAACAGCTTGCAATAGCCTGCGTCCTCGTCAGCTTCATCCAATTCGACTCTTCCAGCAGCGATCAGAAAGGCTGCAAGATAGCTTTTTGGATCCTCCAATCCGCTGTAAGGGTCCAATTTGAGTTTCCGGGAATCTTTGATCCTTAAACTTGCAATTCGCGGGATAAAAGGGGTTCGCCTTGCTTCTTCAATGACTCGATTGATGTCTGGCTCCGAACTTGTAGCCTGATGAAATTTTGATTTCATTTCTTTTAATTCCTGGCTAACCTTTTTCATGGTCTCGAACTGGTCGAGGTTCTCCTGCTCGTACTGAGCTGCAAGTTGTTCTTCATCCCCGATCTGCGTCTCTTCTTCCGACGTCTGAGCTACATTATTTGTAGCACCGGGAGTTGTTTGTCCGCTGGTTTCATTTCGTGCAGCGGAACTTGGCGAGTTGAATATCCCTCTTCGGGTTCCCACCGGGTTTCCTGCACTTAAAGAGCGAACGCGAGTTTGTATATTATTGACGTTTTGGCTAAGAGATACCTGGGATGTTTGCAACGTATCGACGGCCTTCTCCACATCCGAAAACTTTTGTGATATGTCCGACATGGTTTGCTGCATAGCTTTGAGGGTTTCGGCCAATGATGTCTCAACAGCGTCTCCTCCGGACATTGTCGCTTATCTCGGAAATGTAGAAAAGAAGAAATCTGACCACTCAAGAATCCTGATCTCCCCACAGACGGCGCCAAAATGTGGATGTCGGATTCACACACTCAAGTATTTTGTTAAGTGGGAAAGATTATTCTTGAGGGACAAAAATAAATATGTAAAAAGCTTATAAATTGATACGAAAATTGCTATAGTATTTCTCTCTTGAGAGGAAGATCCCCTTTACATGGCCATTGGCCTCTATATTTATACATAGATAAGTGACATTAAAATGGACAATTAAGTACAATTATTCCTTCTTAAATGTGTCCGTTTTGATTCTTCGACTTTAATGCTCAACGTTTGAATTTGAGTTGACTCTGATTTTCATGGGCCTCGCCTTTTTGGCCCAAGTGTCCTCGAGCCGACCTACCCGCATCTTCTACTCCGAACTCACGTCTTAGTGTAGTCACTTCGGACTCTCGAAGTGGTGACAACCACTTCGACCGTCCCCTCGGTTCATGGGCCCAATGGGCTTCATCCTTTATGGGCCACCCGCTTGACTACGTGGCAATCTTTGGTTGGTCTCGTACTTCTGGTGCGGGATCCGACACCAACAATCTCTACTCTAGGTAGAGTGAAGAATCAAGACTTCTTAGAGCAAGTCTCTTCTCTTCTCGACCAAGCTGATGATATCCTTGTGGTAACTCTTTTCTTCCTTAATTACTTTTTTACACATAGGAAGTCCTTAAGATCAAAATCACATGAAGAGGGATTTTAATCATGGGGTTGATAAAATATGGTAAATGATATGTATGATACAAACAGGGTTGTCAGAGTGGAGCCAGATCCTTAAAAGCCACAACTGAACTTGTTGCCGCAGTAAGTATATATACTAATTTATACACTCCGACTAATGTGTTTAATCTCCAAAGAATCATTCATATTATATATGGTAAAAATATAGGGTTACAAGAAAGTGAGAAACATGGGAGGTGGCTACTTGGCCTGGGTGGATCACAGCTTTCCCATCAACGAGGAGGAGGAGGAGCCATCTGCAAACTAATCATATTAAGATTCTCATCCTTCTTGTCGAATAATATAATTGCCAGTGTGATGTAATAAATCATTTTCTATTTAGAATTGCGGTATCTTCTTTCTTTCTTTCTTGTAATCAAAACTTTCAATAAAAGCTGTGTGTGTGTTTTTTTATAAGTGAAATAAATACAAAACCCTTTGACTTTGATTGTTTTACTTTTTGGGCTTCACACACTCAAGTATTTTGTTAAGTGGGAAAGATTAGCGTTATACTGTGCACATCCCACATCGTTTAGTTGGAATTTGTCCCTTGAAACTTGTCCTATAAATTAATGCACCTGCTTCTTTAGTAAGATATCAACTGGACTTTAAAGTCACGGCCCATTTTTTGATAAGAGGCCTTTGGGATTTAAATGAATTCCAACGTAAGTCGGCCGATTCGGCCGCCCACTTAATGGGTTAGGCCCTAGTTTTTTTTTCTCACAGGTTTTTTCGAGTCTTTTTGTAAAAATTGTTTTCAACGTTTTGTTTTTTTTTTTTCTTTGATAAGTGGTAAATTTTTTAATTTTGTGTAAACTAATTGGATACAACATCCAAACCCCTAAGAGGGGTCTAGGTTCAATATGGTTACACATTATTAAATTTTAACACTTGTATTTTTTTAAAAAT